AGTATTTTTTGTAAGCCCATACGTCTACATAGGAATCAGTGACAGATTTTTCAAAATAAAGTGGACAGAACTTTTGAAACAACAGTACTAATATGTTAGTGCATTCAACGATGTTTGCTATGGTGTTTTGAACTTGGATCGGCACCACTAAATTTTTATAAACATTGATATGAAAACTAATCAAAGTCATTCAGCTGGAACAACGACAAGTCGCACCTCCGTACAACCCGAGCGTGGAAAGTGACCGAGATCTGCAACATTTCGATACACAGTTCACAGACGAAGCACCTACTCTCACCCCAGATGATCCGAGTGTCATAGCGAAAATTGATCAGAGCGAATTTGATGGGTTCGAATACGTGAATCCACTGCAGATGAGCAAAGAAGATTCTGTATGAATGAAGAAACATTTGTCACTTCTAAGCAGCCACTGTCAATATCAGACCATTTACTGATCGCTTACCATCTGATGACTACCTTTTAGTGCCGAAGCGCATCTTATTCTATTTTTACGAATGATTCTTGTCCTAATCTTGCTAACTCATTCGAGAAACTGCTTGCTTGAGGAAATGTTTCAGTTTACTATAAGTGTTGTACAAGCGCCTTCAGCCGTGCCTCCCTTGACTGGGTTATCTCAAAGTTGCGGATTTCTGTGCGTTCGTTCCTGAAACCTATGATATTGAGCGTATAGCAACTTCTCAATTTTCACTTCATTATTACTTATTGGCCACTGTGATTATATTGTGATGACTATGATATCACTGCAGAATGCCACTTCGTAGCTGGTATTGAATTAGTCTGGCACCAGCCAATTGCTCTTATCATTCCTCTAATAATTATTTCTTATGAATTTGGACTACTTATTGAAATTCACATCTGTTTCAGAATGTTTGTAATCTTAAATGCTTGCTTTTAGCTCAAGTGTATGTAATGATAGAAGATTGCTCTTTATGTTCACCACTTGCATAAGTACCTTATTCAGCTGAGCCATACAGCCGTTCC